GTTTATCCGAATCAATTGGGGACTGAGGTTGTTCAGATAACTTATTTTTCGAATAACCAATTATGTACAAAAAAATATATTAATCTATCCCACATTGAAATTTTTCTCCGTTGTGTGTCGCTTTGCATTGAATTTTCGTCAACGTTAAGCCTAATGTAAACTTTTTAAAATAATAATCGTGGCTATTGTATCATTAAAAATTATTTCTTATTTTTTACAAACAAAATAAATATATTGAAAAATATAAGAACAAAAAAAATTATACTTTAGAAGTTAATCTAGTATCAAAAATGTTCGATTCAGCACGACACACAGTCCTCAGAAAAACACCACACAAAAGTGCCAGTGCTGCCAGCTAAAACACACACATGAACAAAAAAAATATTAAAGTAGCCCAAGATATAGCCAAAGATTGCAGTGCCACAGCACTAGTGAAAATTTAAATTTGCCGATTGGAATTCTTTTGGATAACTGACTTTCAGATAAACGACTCTCTACTGTATGTGTTTTGTCTCATGATTAAAAATGTATTTATTTATTTATTTCACAATAATGTACAGCAATATCATATTGACAATAATGGCTGACCCCTGAATAACAAGCCCAAAGAGTAAAATTAAACATACATAACAAAATAAAAGAACATTTTTGTGAATGGCACGAAAATCAGTGAGTAGATCAAACATAAGAGAGTTTTTACAGATGGATTTAAACCTATGAAGATTCAGAAAGTAAAATTCTTCAATAATTGTAACAATCTTTTGATGCCTGAAGAACAAAGATTTAAACGTAAGATAAACAACGAGCATATGGGGAGTACAAACATGTTGTATCTCTAGAAGGAACACATACAAAAAGAAAAAAGAAATTTAGAAGAGAGAAGACCATTAAAATATTTGTAGGAAAAAATTTGATCAAAATAATCAATACATTTATAAAAATCAGGGAGACCTAGCTGTGTGTGGGTCACCTCGGGAAAATCAGTTAGAGGAAGGTTTGCTAGTTTATTTAAGAGAAGGTAAACCTTGTCCACCTCTAAGAAATTTATGCAAATTTACATCAATTTTTAAATGAAAAAATGTATGATAATTTACAAAAAATATTTATGACATTATTAATTCCTTATCTAATTGAACCTATTTCTGAAACAGTGAAAGATATTAAAAAAAGACATCATCAAATCTAAGAAACAGTATCAATACTTAACAATTTATAACTGCACAATATGATTATACTATTATAATAATAATGTGAGTAAATATGTTGTTTGTATTTATACACATTGTGATATCTTCAAAACCATTTTCAATTTTAGCAGATTAAAACAAAACTTACTTTTAATGTAATTAAATGATTAGGGTGTTGAGTAATATTTAATAATGAAGCCAATGATGCAACTCCAGCTTTAAATTCTGGACTATCAACTATAAAAATTTAAATATTTTACAAAAATTAACATAAAATAATATTTCATATAAATATATTCAAATTAAATAATAATATTTATAAAATAACTGGTAACTTACAATCTAGATTGTCTAAAGGATTCTTCTGTACTACCACAGGAGCATTTATTTTATTTTTAATATTTTCTGAAGTAGCGTCTTTATATTTTTCTCCTAGTAAAAATTTAATAATAATGATTATACAGTAGAGCATCAATTTTCCGAAAGTCAATCATCCGAAAGAATTCCAGTCAGAAAATTTAAATTTTTGCCAGTGCTGTGGCACTTCAATCTTTGGCTATGTCTTGGACTACTGAAATATTTTACGTTTTTGATACTAAATTAACATCTGAAGTATAATTTTTTATTGTTTTTATATTTTTCAATATATTTATTTTGTTTGTACAAAATAAAAAAATAATTTTTAACGATACAATAGTCTTTGTTAGGCTTAACATCGACGAAAATTCAACGCGAAGCGACACGCAACAGAGAAAAATTTCGACATCGGATACGTTAAACTATTTTTTTGTACATAAATCGGTTATCCGAAATATCAGTTATACGAACAACCCCAGTCCCCAATTGATTCGGAAAATCGACGCTCTACTGTATTTAATATTCTAACATATTAGTAAAAATATTCTTATATTAAATCACAAATGGGCAATCCAAATTTGGCCCTATACAAATCAATGATGCTAAAATAACACTTCTATAATATATAAAGTCACAGTTGTTATGAGTAAGCATAAAATTGCTTGAGAGAACAAATCATACAGGAATACAATTAAGATGGAGAGAGAATTATTCCTGTATGATTCATTCTCTCAAGCATTTTATGCTTACCCATAACAATTACAAGAAAAGGCAATCCAGTACAAATAAAAAGTCACAATTAATTTGTTAGTCCTGCTTATACTGTACCTGCTTATGCTTAATATATAATCAACCTGATGGTGCCGTAAACATATTAGCGAAGGTTTTGTTTATAAGACTAACAAGTAATGTCTTAGCATGACCATACATTTTTGTCACTAACAGTAAAGCAGTTCATTCATAAGTAATATTTCACGATGCTTATACATTTTTGATATGAGAAAGAAAATGAAAAGCACATATCATCTTATGACCAAAAAAGATTACTTTATCATATATGTGAACTGCATTTCAATTACAGGAAACTTGCAATTTCAGCAACAAATTAATTTAAACTCTCAATTTCTACTAACTATTCTATAATATGCAAAATTTTGATTCAAAATTTAGAAACAGACAGCTTATACTTCAAGAAATAGATAATCAATTGTTTGAAATGTTTCAAAAATATGAAAGTTAATTAGTGGTTTAACAATTGTTGAAAAAATATAACTTGTCAAAAAAACAACGAATGTTAAAAAAAACATCTTCTCCATGGATGGCTTCATAATTTTAAGCATCATCATCATATTAAACAAATTAAACTGCATAATGAACCAGCATCTATTTTCTATTAGTGATGATCATGAGAAAATACAAAAGTTAACTGAAAAGATCTGAAGTTATAAGTCAATGTGTTTATAACATTGAAACAATGAAAGTTCAAAAAATGTTTACTATTTCCAGTGACAACCAAAAAATTACAGTAAAGTAATTTTGTCTTTATATAAAATCAAAATCTAACTCAAAATAATCACATTTGCTCTTTAAAACAAATATCTATATTTTATAAGCTTTTTGTAGTCAACAGTATAATAATTAAAATAATACAGTGGTACCTCAGGATACGAAATTAATTCGTTCCGAAACTGAGATCGTATCATGAAAATGTCGTAAGGTGAATCATTTTTCCCCATACGATTACATGTAAAACCAAATAATTCGTTCCAACGAAAAAACACTCAAATTAAAGCTAAGTAGTACATTAAAAAATAATAATAAATATAGTAAGGAAAACACTGAAAAGTGCGTTTTGTAGTTGTAAATGTATAAATAACCATAATAGAATAATAATTAATTTTAAAAATATATAGTTTTATTTGCACTTTACTTTTGATAATAGACGAAGGTGGCGGTGTAAACTGATGGCGGAGGAGGGGAAGAATGGAAATGATACTAAAATCTAACCTACATAACATAATGTAACAATAACTTAAAAATAACTTAGAAAAGATTAAAAAAATTAGTGTTGTTTTATATTTTTTGTTTTAATTTTTATTCACTGCTTTTTGCCTTATTTCCTTCACTTTCACCAGCGCTTTCACTGGATAGAGGTGGCTTGGTTAAATATCTATCCAAAGAGGTTTGGCTTTGCCTACTTTTTAAAATGTTTATAAAATGACTTAGGCAAATGCGATTACTCCGAGCAGCAATACGGCCAGTGTGAACCTTTTCGGGATGTTTCTTTTCAATAAAATCAGTCACTTTCTGATAATATCTCAAGATTTCCTTCATTGAGCGAGATCCTTCCACGACGAAGCAAACACGTGGACTGAGACCAATGAACAGAAGTGAATAGAAAATGGCGCTGTGAACTGATGTAACGTCGTATGGTGAGTTTTTGTTCGTATTGTGGAGCAAAAATATGTTCGAATTTCGTGTCGTATCCTGAAAATTTCGTATGCTGGGGCGTTCGTATCCTGAGGTACCACTGTATTTGTAAAACACTATTTTAATTATTATTAAACTGTACTTGAATTTTAAAAAGTTACAGTTTCCCTTACAAAGTCATACTTTAAAAGTTTCAATTCCAAAATTGACTTTAGAAGGTCTGATTGTATTAATAAAGCATAATGGATATTTCAAAAATATTTCTAAATTTATTAATACATTAATTGAAAGATGATTTCAGTTTGTCCTACTTACAAGGAAAACCTGGCAGTTTGTCATCACCAATTTTGACAAAATTTTGTGGTGTATAGTACAGTTTAACCCGATTATAACGACATCGGATGTAACGACAACCCTAATATAACGTCAAATTTTTATCGGTCCCACGATTTTACTATACTAGATAATGTTAAAAAACCCACTTGTAACGACATAAAACCCTGTTTTAACGTCATATTTGAAGAACTCTTAAATTTACAAAATTAAATTATAAATTTTATTTATCAAAGAAAATACTACGTGTTCAGTCAGAGTCCCTTCCTAGAATGATTGTGGGTGGTACTGTCACCACCTGATTCGGTGGGGTGAGATGTGCCACCTCTTTAAACGACGTGACAGTGGGTTAGTCTGCATAGCTCTCATACTCGTGTTGTAGTTTACAATCTAAAATAACTGACTTTTTTTAAGTGAATATTTTTATTGTTTTTTTTAATTGATATACATTAATTTAACCTAAAAGTGAAATATATTGGACTTCATGTCCATTGATAGATAAGCAAGAAACGAGAAAATTATCATCCAGGCGTTAAAACCGAAAGTGCCGCCATTATCGAAACTTGACAAATAAAAATTTCTTATAAAAAATAATTTTTGAAATTTTTAATTACATCATTGTAAATTTAGACATAATAATGTAAAAAAAGTTGATTTAAATATTTAGTTTGCACTTTTATACATACGATATTAAATTAATGAATTTTATAATAGATTCTTAAACAGACTTGATATTTTTATGGAACTGAAATTATGACCCCGCAGATAACGACACTCGGTTATAACGTCAAAAAATTGCCGGTCCCATGGATGACGTTATAAGCAGGTTAAACTGTATTTACTTGTACTTAAACTCTACCAAAGCTGTAGGACCCACTATTAAGACATTCTTGGAAAAATTAGGATAAAAGTTTCCAACAACCATTAATACCAATACAGAAGACTGATTCACGAAGCAGCAGTGTGGCATGGTTAGTTAGAGCATCGCATTTAGAGGCTGTTTTTGGGTTCGATCTCCATATGCAAATTTTTTTTTTAAATTTAATCTCATCATTTTTAAATTTCTTATGTACAATTTTTATGCTTTTGTTGAGGTTTGAGAGTATTACTAATTTTGCTTAGCTGTTGGTTGTGTGATAATTTTTCTCTTTTGTTTAGAATAATTTACTTGTTCCTTTATATTCTATATCCATGGTTCTCAAAGTGTAAGTTGTGACCAAAGGGTTGGCACCAGATCGGCGATGCCCATGTCAGGATCAGTGATGGTAATTCGTTCGTTCACACGTGAGCGGTCGCATGCATGGACACTAGGGGTCCAGGATGGAGACAGCCTGAGAGAGAACGCAGCCAAAAGAAGTGCACACTACAACTTAATTATAAAGGAAAAATACCCGTTTATTTTTGTAAATTATTTACATGTATACATAGCATAATGTGAGAGTTGGACTTGACGAAAATTGGGAGAGAAAATTCATTTTTCGTCTTTTGAAAGTTTTCTAATTTTATTACCAAAGGATGATTGCATCTCTCTCCTTGGAGTCGTTTCCTTTCCCAGGGAACTCATCGAATGTGTCATTGGGAACTAATAACAAAAATTCACAATTGGTGAAAAATGATAATGTGACTTGGAGGTATAAAAGGAGTGACTCAAGGACAAGGGGTCGTCAAGAGTCCAAGAGTTCACTGATCCAGCTTCCTTTCTGACGTGTGTGTGTGTGCGTGCTCTATCACTGACCATTTCATCTGCCTTTCTCCGATCTCCATTCCGATCCTGTTGCCATTCCCGAACCTGAGAAGCCAATGAATTCCCTCCAATGATCCAAGACGATCCAGTACAAAAGACACACCAGACACAAAAAGAGACTAAGACATTGCCACCTCTATGATCTTCGATCAACAACACAACAATCAAGCCACTGATCAAGGTATTTTGCCAACTTGCAGTTTATTATAAACTCTCTCTCTTGATCGTATTCTTTTTTGTTGAATTAAATCGGTTATTTTAATTGTTACCTTGTTACCCTTGTATCTGGCAGATTCACTTTTGATCAGCTGTCTCTCAATTCCCCTCCATCCTGAATTTGGTTGCCTGCACACATGACCACTTGTGCAAATTCCGAAGTTGCAGCCGTTAAGGTTTCTGTGTCTATCCTGAAGACACAGTGGTGTCAGTCCTGATGAGGCACTAAAGAGGTGCTGACCCTCCGGTCACAATAACAGAGTTCCGTTATAGCTTTCAAATAGCAATTAAATTGGATAAAGCTATATAGTGTAACATAATTGAGTATTGAAGTTAACAAATTCCTAGCCAAGAGAGAGAGCTTACATTATTATGCACAATGTGAAATACCTTGATTGGTAGGTTGATTGATGCCGTGGATAGTCTTGACGAAGGAGTGAAAAGGTTTCCACTGAATTGGGTAATACTCCTGGATGGGGCAGTTTTTGGTCTTTTTGGTCAAATGTCCAGTAGATAAACACAGCTATGGTCCGGTGACAGCAGCTGTTGACAGGATCAACAGTAGAACTTGGCTGTAATACAATTGCACCAGGATATGGATAGGCAGATTCTCTTTGTTTTCGATGTTCGTCTTTTATTTTGGGGTCTTCCCCCTTGATTTCAATGCCCCTTTTAGGCAATGTTAAGTTTTTTGATCAATGGATAAATTTCAGATGAAAGTTTCTGGTGACACATACATTCGGAAGATGTGTTGCCTTTGAAATGGAAGTAAATCCAGGCACAGATGCGATCACTTCCTTTCATTTTTAGTGTTGGGAAAATTTTTCTTTGTAGAATATGTGAAATTTAAGCATTATTCTAAACAAATTTGATATATTTTGATATATAAAATTTGATATATATATAATTAATTAAAATTTCCATCTCATCCAGTCTCTCACAACTTTCCTCACAGTTGTGAGAAAAGTTGTGGAAGTAGTAAAAGGTTTTACTACTTCAACACATGTTTATCCCATAGACATTGTACTTTTGCCACTCCACCACAACTAAACCATTGCACCTTTCTCAAATCTCTCTTCAGCAGCATCATCTACAGGATAAGAGCTTTAATTAATTTGCTTCATGAATACTGTGTTTTAACCCTAGCTATTTCCTCAAACTAAACTAATACTGAAACACTCTTTCAATTAATATATAAATTTTCCAAGAATGCTTACTTTTGAAACAATTGTATTTTTTTAAACACCTTCAAATAATATATTTTAAAAATAGACAAAACTTACTGTTGTCACCATAATCCAAACGAACAGCTAATCCAAGAAGCCAATCAATAACAGCAGCTGTATCATCATGGTTAAATGGACATCCTACATCATTCAGATACTGGAAGAGAAATATATACATATATGTTTAGTAATATAAAATGTATAACATACATCATTAATAAATAAAATATTTTAAAATAATTGTAATTGTAAAATAGCTATAATTTATGTAATAATATATCAAATAGAAATCACATGCTTGATATAAATATTCTGTAACAATAAAAATTTTTAGAAATATTAATATTAAAATTATTACATTTTAAAACTTTAATAGTTTTCATTATTTGACTATCAAAAATGAATTATCTAAAATAAATCCTTAAAATGTTATTTTTAGTAATCTAGATTAAATTTTGTATTGTCATTTTTAACTTAATTTCTGTTACTTATAAGTGTTATTAATATTTATAAATGTATTTTTATTTACACTATTTGCTTATTTCAATGATGTTTTTCAATAATTTAAAGCAATGCAAACCAGTTCAAAAACTGAACTAAAGAACCACTGTAATTTACTAAAGTGTTATTTCAGCAACCTGTTAGTGCTGTTTTGCCAAACTTATCACAACAACTTCAGTATATTATAACATTCCTTTATTCTTTTTCAGTACCTTTGACAAAATTTATGCACAGTAATTTAGAAGAACCAAAACAACCATTTTATAAGATAACACATGAGCTTATTTTCAAACATCTTGATTTTGCTTCAGTCTATTTTTTACCAACTAAGTATAAAAACTTGTTTAAATCTTTGCAGCTTTTTTGTATGTTGTAAGTTGACACTAGTAGTCTTATTGTATGCAGATCAACAAGTCTGTTTGCTCAGTATTTACTCAAGCAACCAATTATGTGTTGTATATAGCAAATGCAATTTGCTATATGCTGACACTGTTAATTGTCAAAGGGGTTAGGTGATCTTTGATATTAAAATTTATTTTTTCAATAATTTTATAATATTGAAGGCATTTCATGTAAAGATATTTTGTTAATTTATTTAAATTTTGAATTAAATCAAGTAATACTTATGCAATAAATAAAATAAAAAAGTATCTGATATATATGAATATATGTTGTATAAATAAAATAATGACATTTAAAAATTGAAACACAATATTTCAATTTTTAAATGTACAAACCAAAAACAAACTAGTACTATTATTTGAAAGTCTAAATTTAAACAAACAAAAATTACATGGATTATAGAAATCACTTATTAACTGTAATTAAACATTTTTCAAACCTCAAATATATCATTATATCTTGCAAAATTGACACATTAATGTCTACGAAATGTACAATAAAATCTTAACAATTGGCAAATTATCTATTACATATCCAATCATTATGTACAGTATATAATTAAACATATTGATATGATGTTTATAGCAATATAATTAAAACAAACATTACACAATATTACAACAGTTGGCCAGCTTGTAATGTTGTGTAGTGCTTGTTTTAATTATATTGCTATAAACATCATATCAACATGTTTAATTATATACATAATGATTGGATATGTAATAGATAATTTGCCAATCATTAAGATTTCATTGTACAGTACATTTCGTAGACATGGATGTGTCAATTTTGTAAATATTTGTAAAGAAGCTGATGAGGGACTGTAGGTCCAAAATGCATACTTTTTTGGAAAATAAATTGATGTTCTAAAGCTGATCTTGTGTCTAGAGATGGTGTAAAAAGTTTAGGAATAGAGAGGACAACATAGTGCTCACAAGTATATACTAAGCTAGACCAGAAGCATATTATAGTATTTATTGATTTTATAGAGATGGGTAAATATCACTTTTCTCAAATCTGAACATCAAATTCTAATATTAGATCTCAAATACCCCAAACATTTAGGGAAATTAATTACTTTATATAACTTATTTAGTTAATAATTTATTTAATATTTATGATTTAATTTGTTTTACTTAGTTCAATATATTAATAAAGTGAAACAAAAAGTAAAAAGAAAAACAATTTACTAAATTCTAAAAAATTAAACTTCAAACTTTTAATTTTGACTGAGTTTTAAATTAGCTTTTCTTAGGTACTACATCACAACTACAATAGCTTAGCAAAGAATTGTTCTCATTCAATTTATATGCCTTTGTGTCCTTAATTAAATAATTTTAAGATAAATCGTCAACTAGGACATATCTATTATTAGGACTTATTATACTGGATAACTGGTTCCGCAAATTAAGTAAACAAATTCAGAAAAAGTCTTTATTTATCACCTGTATAAATAAAGACTGTTTTTCTGAATTTGCTTACTTAATTTGCAGAATCAGTTATCCAGTATAATAATAAATATGTCCTAGTTGACATTTTATCATAAAATAATTGTTCTCATTCTCACTTATTGCTAATTTTTATTTAATAAAACAATTCAAAAAATGTTCAGGATCCAGTCTGTTTCTTTTCTTGTCACAAATTAAACTACATGTGCTGAAGAGACACTTTGTACATAGTGGCAGATACAAGGAGATACCATTGACCAAAACAATTTATTTCTTTAAACTTCAAACCATTGTTTTTAAAAACACTTATGACGACAAATATAATTTAACACATCATCTGCAATAGATCATCATGCACATGTTAATAAAAAGTACTTATTAATTATTCAAATATTTTTAATTTTTGAGTTAGTCCCCCTTTGGTTACTTCCAGATATATCACTGTGACTGTACTTTTGGAGATATTTGTAATACAGTATTCAAGTTTATTTTTTATCAACATAATATTCAAAATCCCTTCTAGTATTTGAGTATTTGCACCATCTCTAATTATAACGAAATTTTCTGTAATGTAGAAAAAAATTTTAAAAACAAATTAAATTTTTTTGTTTTCATACAATTGTAGTTGAATTGTTTATCTTTCAACAAAAGTGTTCACATTAGATGCATTCAGACACTTCACAACAAGAATCAAAATGCACCAATATGATTCTGAGAAGGGCCATAGTTCAACAGCTCTAGCTACATTCACAACCCATGATGATAATTAGTACTTCTAGAGTTTGTGTATCTTGATAGTTTGTAACTTGATAGCGTAATGTAGTGCTAGTGTTTGTATACCTTGATAATTTATGCATGTTCAGCATAACACTAAACATGAAATTATCAAGGTACACAAACACAGTATAAGGAAGAAGGGTCTCTACAATAATACTATAAAATTTTTTTAAAGATGAAGCTGATAAATGCAGCTAAAAACATTTGTTATTTCATCAGTTTGATAATCTCTAATCCAGCAAATCAATAATCACTTTATTGTATATGTTCAATTTGGCTGTCTTAATGCAGTTCTATTCAAATATATTTTATATTTATTTATACCTTTGAAAAGCTTTCTTTCCAATTGGTATTTCCAATATTTCGAAGACATTCTCTTTCTTCAATTTTATAATGCCTAATTTTCTGATCTTCTAACCATACAACAAGACTTTGTAAATCTGTAGAGGCTGGAAAATAAATACTTTAATTTCAATACTTTATTACTAAGTAAGAATTAATCTATCTTTAAATTTTAATGCTTTCTACAAGGCAGGTTCAATAAAAAACCAGAAAAGTACCATGAAGAGTTGAGAGGATGAACAATAGCATAGTAATTTTGACACATGAAACTTCAAAGTCAGAAGCAATAGTAAATTCAACTGGCAATCTTGCACTGCACCCAGGTATATGAGTAGAGTTCTAAAGTTCAAAAACAGCCACAGTTCTGTGGAAAATTCTCCACAGCTGCAATCACAACAACGAATGCCACAGAGAATCTTACTGTCATCTTACTGTACACCTGCACTTGTCAATGGATGTCAATCAGTTTTTGTCAAAAATCGGGCAACATTACACTTCTCTTTCTTCACGTCCCGCCGGAGAGGCACCACCATTTTATAGGCCCGTCATCTCACATTCCCACGCATCAAAATGCGTCACAGTTACTATTACCTCTGACTCAGAAGTTTCGTGTATCAAAATTACTACACCATTGCTCACTCTCCCAACTCTAACAGCATTTTTCCAGTTTTTCACGGAACTTATCTCATACACGAAATCATCATTAGTCACATTTCATATTAAATCAATATACAGCAAATATGCAAAACAAATCACATTAAAACATTGCCTAGCGAAGTAGATTTAATACAGACAGAGAAGCAAGCAGACAGTCCATTTCAAACCAAACGGGCTACGTCACCGTCTCACTTACCCAGCCATATTAAAGCTATCTTGCCAGGCAATGCGCCCGTCGAATAAAGCGAGAGAATAGCAAGAATTACGGTTTAATTAGTCATTTATCAGTAAATAATTCACATAAACCGACACGTTTTGTAAACTTACACTCATTGTAGTATAATTATATGCTATAGACATTACACTGAACTTTTAATAAATTATACATTGTGTATTTTACATAGAATATCTTTTTACATAAATTAACTATCTACAATACGAATGTAAAGAAAATAAAAGGTACACCCAATAATAATGGTATAATTCGATATTGATTCCAAAGAAATAATAAATTAGAAATAACGAAAATATTTTATTTATTTTTACTCATTGCTGGTGGCATCAATCGAAGATACGAAATAGAAATCGTTTGTAAATTGACATAGAAATTTTAATATTGTCCGGTCTATACGTAATACCTTAATTCGGATACATATTCTTTAACAGTCATAACTTACAATTTACATCGAAGTCGTCAGTTTTATGAAATCCCAACGCACTTAACTTCCTCTTGAACATCTTCCTCCTGCTCTTCTGCTTTCTTGCCAAATGACGTCACCGATCAAAAATCATTTTAACTTTCAAAATCTTAAATAAAATCAGTTTGCCAATTTAGTGATTCAATTCAAAAAATTATACTACAAATAAATTTTATTTATTTAATTAAAATTAATAAATATTTATCTATTTTTTTAAACTCCTTTCGCCCTGTGGGCACTTAGACGGACTCTTTAAGCAAGCCTATTAAGGATTCGGCCAAACCCACAATGGGGCTGCCGGTTGGTGAGGGACGGGGCCCGACGTATCCGAACGGACCACCCCCCGAAAAATTCCTGGGGATTTTTCGACCCGTTCGGATTCGAACCCGGGTGACCAATATACTGA